CGCAGCTTTTTGCATAATTAATTGCCAAATCGGCTCGCTTATCATAGACCCTTGCTGTGCAAGAAAATATTCCATAGACCTTTTGCAGGGTGAATCAGGCGCTAAACGTACAACAAAATTACGATATTCAAATTTGAAAAAAAAAACCACACTGACCTCCGCTGTTCTGCCTTTGCTCACAGCGTGGCCCGCTGTAACCGGCCGGGCACAGGCAGCCGTACCCCTCGTATTCGTTGTAGCATGTACCGCCATTGCTGCACGGGTTGGAAACACACTGGTCTGCATTCACTGGAATAACAACAAATGGTACATTTATTATTGACTAATTACTTATTTTCAAAAAGCAAAACCCGTGCATACTTGCCTGTTGATAAACGTTCGTATTCGTTGAAGTCGAACGAATCGTCAGCTTGAAGAGGGGAACAAGAATTTCAAACGAATTTACGACACGCGGAAACTTCACGAAGGCGCAAAAGAAAGACACGTTGGTTTGATAACAGCAAGTAACGACGAGTATTATTCAAGACGCAATAGTTGACACGATGTTGTCAAGAAAAATGGGAAAGGTGTCCAGTGCGTATATCTGTGAATTTTAAACGATTTGGCATATTTCCGCAGCGTCTATCGTTCGAAACCTATAGAACTGACTACAAACCTTCAAAAATGTGAACTTACAAGTTTCCCCTGCTGTAAGAATTACAGCAATCATCAGACAAATTGCCGCATCCATCTTGCGAACACAAGTTCTCCTTCTCAAAGTTCTTCTACAAAACCAAACCAAGAACGCTTAACTCAGTTCTTTTCTTGTTAACTGTTTGTAATATAACTGATCATGACACCGTCCAGTCCCAAACTGTACGCCAAGTACATGTACTGCCGAACATCAGTTGCACGCGATTACTATCAAAATAGACGGTGCTTGACGCATACTTTATTTACGGCGGGTTTTTCTTTGTGTGGGTGCAGTGTACCGAATCGTTGCCTTGGGTTCGGTGACAAGTTTATGAATGACTAATACGTCATAGTAAGCGCCATTCATCGAGTTGCATGCCTTATAAGGTCATTCTGTAGCTCTGGGTCACTGTCCCATTCAAACTGGTTGCCATACCGATTTCGCTGTGTCACACCTGTGAATATAGTTTGAATTTGTGTTGATCGGCTTTTTGATCAAATCTACGAGTCATGAATGAGTAGCCTAATTTCATTTCGATATTTATATATATATAGTTTTTTATATATATGTTATTATTATTCCTTATTGAAAAAATTAAAGCAACGCACTCGTTTTCTAGTCGATAAAGCAAGAAGCACCCGCTATATGGAATAACAATTCCGTTGAATGATTGGTTGTAAAGCAACAACAAAGTTTGGAAAATAGTCCAACAACAACAATATAGGTTTTCCCTGCTATTTTAAAATATTTTATCATTAAAATTCATCAACTCTATCATTCCATTTCGTCCACGAAAAAATAATATCACACGCTTTTAAGAAAACCAATTTAGTGATTTACCGTTCAATTTCAAAGCTTGGTCATCCTCTTTAGTCACCGGGGCGAGAATATTCGTCATTGCATGCAGGTCAAATTCGTCCAAGCTAATGCCGAATGGCAGGATTTGGAGATCCTACTCGTCTTATATAAATCAAATAGACGAATTGCATTTCTGAATAACAAGGTTCGACCTAGACGAGATGAAATCGAATAGTCCAGAACGAAAACGTGTGCTCATTGTTTGAATTTGCTTCAACTGAATTTGAAATTGTCTGACAAAAGAAAAAAAATAAACATCGGAAGTGCACTAAATCGATATTGGTGGACACATTTAAATATTAGAAATTGTGAATTCGAATGATAAACGTTTGAAAATAGTTGGGAAAACCTATATTATAACCAAAAAATGCGGTATGTTTCGCTTGAAAACTGCGATCCCAATTAAAGCCAACATACAAAGAACGAAAGCAACACACCGATTTGTCGGACGGTAACCCAAGAAATATCTGCTGTAACAAATTAAAGGTTCGTCCCATGAATGTTCGAAATATAGGCCCAGGAATCCTCAACCAAAAAAAAAATTAGGCTAACCAAAACAATGTGCTGTAGATGTGTTGAACACGAAATTACGATTCCTATCAAAGTCAACATGCATGGAACACAAACAACACTCGATTTCCGGACGATAAATTGTCAAGAAATAAAAAAAAAAAAAAAAAAACTATGTAGTCCTGGTTTGTTTCTAGCGCGAACAATAAAAGTCGATTTGAAGCCAAATACAATTTCCTTCAAAAGAGGGCGCGCTGCATAGAAAGTTGTCACCACGGTAAAACTTATTTTCTGCTTGGCTGAAGTAAAACTTACTCGTTTTTTTGGATGATAAATCAAAAAAAACCTTCTGTATTGAATTATAATTTCGTCGAATGATGAAGCTATTCAGTGTAGCCAAGCTTGGTTTCAGTGAAGCTACGTTGTTGTTGTTTTATTTTATTGATTTTTTTTTTTACTTAGAACTTAGAATCAATTGAATGTTATCCAACACTGCAGTAAATCAACTTTCCTTGGGGTCAGTGTTACACAAGCATTACTGTTGAAGAATGGCGAAGGTCAAAGGGAAAGTTATAGCATGAGGGGGGGGGGGGTTGCAGTGACTGGTAAAAAGATAAACAATCAGCTTGTTCTCTGAAAATACTCTGTACATATATTGCCAATTGATTAGCTCCCTTTATTGAAAGCTCTAGGTAAGCACTCGGTTAGTTTTTGGTAAGCAGTGGTAAGCACCTAGTTATCCTGCAAGTGAGCCCCGTCGTTTTGAAAGACAGAACATGGAATAAAGCAAGCACGATCGGACATATCTGGGAAGCTGCGGGTCAACGAATTCGTGTTCATGCATGATTCATGTGGATGTGCAATGTAATTCCTGGACGGAGTAGTGTTTTGATAAAAAAAAAAAAAAACAACAACCCTGACCCCATGAAGACCTTTAACCCCAGTTTGGTCATGTGACATGCTGAGGTTGGGCTACTGATAATTTTCACAAAGTTCGGTGAAAAATTTGTTGAAACATGTAGGGGCAATAGACAATGTCAACGCTTGTAACTATTAGCAAACGGACTAACGAAAGAACGCAAACCTTTTTTTGTGATCCGTGGACAGAACTTTAAAACAGTGGTTGCGTTTAAAATTTCGAAACTTAAAAAGTACCAAGGGCGGATCGGGGGGGGGGGGGGGCAAAGGGGGCCAGCCCCCCAAAAACGAAACCAATTTTTTTATGTGACATCGCACAAAGGCAGGCAATGAGTACACCACCATCTTTTCCTCAAAAAAACATTGGTTAAAGTGGTCAGAAATTGCCTCAGATCGCACCACAGACCATCTAGAATCCAAAACTTTTCGGGGCCCTTAAGCGGGCCCCGAACCCCACCCCGTAATTTTTTTGACCCACTTTTTGGGGGACCTTTTTGTTTTTACTCACCCTGTATACTCCGGTGTATAACTTTATGTACAAACCTACATTTGATAATACAACAATGTAGGCAACCCGGCATGCAAAGGCACAACTCAGAAATGCAGGACTTCTAATGGGAATTAATAATAATTCCCATTTGATAATTAGGTACCAATCATCTCAATCACACTTTGAAACTGCATGTTGTAAACTCTAATACGAAAGGTTAAAAATGCTGCCATCGTCGTTATCTGGCACATTTTTCCATCGCAAAGTTGACTCTCCAATCGGCTACTGGTGGTTCGCAAAATCATGCGCTTCCGAAATCCTTCCAAGCGGTGGCGCGCTCTTCTTGAGTCATTCATGATGAAATCCAAAACAGCCCAAATGCTCTCACGGAGGATGTGTAATAAGTAACCCGTAAAATAAATGGGGTATCTTTGGTCAGTAGGGTCACTTTGGTCAGCACCTATATTTTAGTTACAAGTGAATATAAATATTTGTGAAACAAGATTCGGCAGTAAATTTGATATATAATTAGTTTCAGAAAATGCCACTGCAAAGTGTAATGCACTTGTTGATTTGAAGTGGATAATTATGTAATGTCAAATTACAAGAAGTCAAAGGTCAGAGGTCAAGGAACAACAAGGAATCACAATCAAAGAGGCACTCGGATTTTTTTTAGAAATATAGGGTCAAATGTTCCTTTTTTTCTATATTTCACCTGGAACGAAACAATTTAAAAAAAATGTTGAAATGTTTTGTCCAGCGGTATTATTAGTGCTGGCCAACTTGCCCCAAAACGGAAATTAATTTTTGTCACATCTGTTTTTGGGCCCCACCCCTTTGTTAAATACTATGTTTTGACACCAAACAACATCAAAGTGTAGAGTTTAGTCTAAATGTTTTAAATACAGGTTTTCCCGGCTATTTTAAACCGGTTATCATTCGAACTCACCGTTTCAAATATTCAAATTCGTCCATCACTATCAATTTAATGCACTTCCGTTTCGTCTTTTGTCAGACAATTTCAAATTCAGTTTAAGCAAATTCAAACAACGACCACACGTTTTCGTCCCGGAGTATTCGATTTCATCTCGTCTACGCCAAACCTTTTTTATTCAGTAATCAAATTCGTCTAAATGATTTATATAAGACGAATTCAATCTCTGAGTGCTGCAACAGCTTAGACGAATTTGATCTGTAATGACGAATATTCTCGACCCGGTGACTATAAAGAGGGTGACCAAACTTAGAAATTGAATGGCAAATGACTAAATTGTTTTTTTTTAAAGCCTGTGAGTTTTTTAGGACGAAAAAGAATGTTAGAGATGGTGAATTTGAATAACAAATGTTTTAAAATAGCCGGGAAAACTTATATTAGGGGCAATCCAATTCGCCAAGTTTGTTATTAAAGCAATAGTTAAATATGCCTAAAAATGACCGAGGTTACCCCATTCGACGGCAGTTTTATAACCCATGAATTCAAGAGTAAGTGCCCTTATATATTAACTTTCTCACTTTGGAAGAAATAAGATATTAATAACGACGGTGGCCAATATGACCCAGTGGCTGGGCATGTGTTTAGATGCATCTGGTGAGCTTAAAAGAACAAGGTCTGTAAGCTTAAGGTCAAAGATAAGGTACGATCCATTACCTGTGTGCTGTGAACGCACTCAACCACGTATGGTTATTGATACACCAAAGTTCAATGGGTTTAATATTTAACTATTAACGCATCATATGACGATTCGTTTGACATACTATTATACAGTATGTCCCAAAAAAGTGTCAGTCAGAGTGTTTTTTTTAAAATAATAACACAAACATGAGGTCAAATGTAAAAAGCCTGCATGTTCTGAAAAAAAAAGGCTGATGTGGTTTGGAGATGAATCATTTGCCCTTGAGCATTAAACTGAGGTCTTGTCATGATGGTTGATAGCCAGTAAATGATTCAAATTCCAACCGAAGCACTTTTTACATCATGCAGGATTTTACACAGCTTACATTACACAGCACTGAAATTGATTAAGGCAACGAATTTGGTCACAGGGTCCAAATATGTTGTTGTGATCAATTGATAATTACGAAGTGTTGCGTGATTAAAACTAAATGAAACAAAGGGGTTGAAGCCAAGGCGTACAGGAGTATCTGCACAACCAAACATTTTCAAAATTTACCTCGTGGTTTTGTAGTTATTTGAAAAATGGTCAGACGGTCACTTTTTTGAAACTTCATGTAAAACATATCAAGTATGTCGTCATTTTCATGTCGGTGCACATTTCAACAAAGTCAAGTCAAGCCGAGTAACAATGGTCCCATAGCTTGCTTGGACAGAAGTATGTTCATGTGCCTCTTCTACACATCCGGCAGCATTCAACCCTATTATTGGCGTCAGTATCAACTCAATCAGTGGGTCAGTCAGGGCGTCAGTGAGTGAGACAGGTGCAAAGATGACTCAAGGATGACTTCTCTTGGACCGGTAAATGAAAGTCGTGTCGCAACCCGGGGCTAACAAGAAAGCAGCAGTGTTGCAGCATTCGGAACAAGAAATACACCAGAATACACCAGAACGTTCGATAACTCTGTCCTGTGCATCATGCAGTTTCTGCCAGATTTCATTGCAGGAAAAATGGTGTTGCAGTCCTTCAGTAATTCAAACGAACCACAATCGATAAGCTTGATATAAGCCCAGAGCATTACAGCGAAGCCTCACTGGGTGACACTGCAAATGATTTTTTTTCAAAAAGTAAGTGGATATTTTGTTTCAGGCAGAAAAGACAACTGAAGTAGCAGGGAGTTCAGGTCAAGAGGCGATCAGAGGGGAACCAACAACGGGTCCTATCAAGCCGATCTTTGGACGTGGCAAGCGAGTAAGTTGGAGAAATACACCTGCTTCTGTGTGAATATTCGATTCGAATTTTGAAATATGGAACATCCCCCGATTAGTCCTTTTGAACGACATTGCTGTGTCATTGACTCGCATTGCAGGTTAGCAGTGGAAGAGGCCATTGGGAGCTGTTTCGTGAGATTAAATTTGAGGGCTGTGCACACAGCTGTTATCTTGCCATCGCTGCACGTGATGATGAGATCGCTGTGGCTGACATGTATGGAAACCGAGTTGTTATCTTCAGCATCGATGGTAAACAGAAAAGTACAATACAGCTTCAAAAATGTGAGTATGCCTGCAAATAATTCTGCCCACGGTCAATGTTTTGGCCTAGTTCAGATAATGATTCTTTGAAGATTGACTAGCAGGCCTCCTTGATTTCAATAACTGTATTTTTTGTGTATCTTTAATCCCCATAGGTCCACGTGGAATTGCAGTTGAACCCATTCACAATCGCTTCGTGGTTATTGAGACTTACGATCCAAAGGTGAAGGTGTTCAACAGCGACAACTCGCTGGCATACGAGTTCCCAACGGTGCCAGCAGATGAGGTCGGTAAGCCCCACTCTCCCAGGACCAGGGGTGTAGCGGTCAAGAAGGATGGTACAATCCTTGTTACTTATGACCAAGGATGGGTGTATACTGAACACAAACCTAGTAATGGTGAGCTTCTACGTACCGTACCAGTAAAACTTTGCCCTGCCCAGCTGGCTGTTGACAACAAGGATCGAGTTATAATCAGTAATTACGGAGCTAGACCATTCGTGGCCGTTACTGATGGTAGTAGTTATACACTCTTCACAATCGAACCAACCATCCTCGGAAAACCAGCAAAGTACTGCCTAGATGTATACGCTGATAGCTCCGGTATATATGTTACAATGCTGGGGCCCCGTTACAAAGGTCATATTCACCACTATGACCTAGATGGCAGGTTTCTTGACTGCCTCGTTCGGGGTTTGCATAACCCATTGCCAAATGAATGGCAAAAGCGGGGTCATCGAAACAAAAAAACAATTTGGCGTATGAGTATTGCGAGACACCCAAAAAGGAATTAACTTAGAACTCTTGGCAATAGATTTCAAATGAAGCTACATTATGGTAAATTGAAATACATGTTGTAATTCCAAATGTACACTGCGATAGCCCAGGCCTGCCTTCATCACACCTCAAAGTTCAGCTTACAAGCCTTTTTCTCCCTCCAAAGTCAAGACCACTTTCTCCAAGCTGTTTACTAAACTACACCTCCCACAATCATTGTTAGCACTCACAGTTATTGCAGAGGAGGGGCGACTTGGGTTTTGTAATTTGCCCTTCCTTGTGAAATAGTCAAAATGATGGGGGACTGGAAATCTGAGGCATTCCAAGCCTGTATTACCCTATTACCTGAGCAAAGGTTAACATTTAGAAAAAAACTTTTCAAGGCTTTGCCAATCAATTGATATATGTTTTTAAAATAATACTGATGTACCTGATAATACAATTACTGTAACTAATCGTTCTACCAGTAAGTAACTATTCAAATCAAGTTGTTTTGGTATATATTTTTTAGAGGATTCTCTTATTTTTTTTCTAGTTAGAATGTAGACTCTTTGTAGGCCTATGTGGTTTGGCCTTATAGAATTGTTCAATTCAATTTGGTCCGGCCTAAAAGCCTTAGAGTAAATGGTTCTCCATCAATGTACCCAAACCAGCTTGGCTTTTTGTCTCCTTATTTTATGTGGTTCATTAAAAATACACATGTACGGCAAAAGCGTAGCAAGGTCATTCTTAATAGGGGTATTCATTTCTTGAAAAAGGCACTCTTACATTCGTGCTGAAATGTAGACAGGTTGTTTGGACACTTGGCCTCCGTATAATAAAATAGGGGGGGGGGCGGACTGGAACCATCTTTCAATGACGGCGCTGTTCAAAGCGGACAATCATACACACTATCGGACAATATATGATGTCTTTCGGGGAGGCAAACGCGCAAAATTTCCCAAAAGGCACTTGTTAGATCTCACACCCTCCCGATGACGGACAGAGCACATTTTGCGAAACGGGGAGTTCTACACTCAATAACCGATTCTTTTCAGTACCACACTTCATCAAAAAGAGATTACTCTCCAAAATGGTGTTACCTGCAGTCTTTCTACTTTATCTCATCCGCCATGCAAAGCTTCAAGTCATATCGTTACAGCGTCTAGTTGTAAATAAGGGCAGTGTTTAACAATAAAAAAGGGCAATCTTTAAAAATATTGGAGGGGCGGGGTACACTTGCGAATAAAGGGGCACTCGAATGAAAAAGGGCAGTTGCTGGCTACGCCACTGTAAGGTCTCCATATGTATACCTTTTAAGGATGGTTTTGATCACCCCTTTATAACGGTATGTAAATCAATTGATAATTCGTTATTGTCGTCTTTTAAAATGAGGAACTGGTCACTCACCGTGCAGAGCTATGGAGACAGGAATTCTACATAGTGACTATGGTATTCAAATAAATGGGAAAATCATTATAGACATACGCGTGGTTGCTATCATTCATTATGACCCCGTCTTAGAAGTTGAGGACGCTAATATGTAGGATCAGAAATCATACACAAGAGGTGGTAGAATATACGCGTCTTATACGCGTATACGCGTCTTATACGCATTCTATACGCGTCTATCGTTGACATTCCAGACCTGATGGATACTAGGGAGCAACCTGAATACAAACTATACACACTATTACCAATTTGGACCATGTCAAAAGCAACACTGTCTTGTTTAGAGAAAATGATGATTTTTTATTGCGTCAAAAAAAAAAAAAACAAGAGAGGACGCAGTATACTGACCGCACTTTATAAATTGTCAACGATAATGATGAACTAGAGATTGTGGTTGTAACAGAACAACCACGGAGTGAGTTGTTCCCAACATGTTTTTGAATGTCTAATGGACATACCAAATGATTAACATGTAAAGATTGTTTTCAAGAAGTTTGCAGTTATTAAAATTGAAATTAAATCTTTAATCGGTGCACTTGCGAAACACCCATTAGTAAGGGTCACATGACCTTGACATTTCAGGCGGTGCATTTTCAGTCCATAGGAGTAAATGTGCAAAGAACTGGAATCATAACTTATTGTATTGTAGAGATTTGGTGGTCACAATATTGCCTCATTAAATATTCATAACCTCATAACATGAGAACTGTACAGTAGACTGCACAGTAATAATAATGCAACGTATTAATCTTTGAATGTTGGTTCTTACTATTATAAGTTATCAACCCGATCAGATTTATAATGCGAAACTCAGAAATGTAGGACATCTAACGGGAATAACGGGAATTAACATGTAATAATAATAATTCCTCTCATAATGAGGTACCAATCATTCCAATGACAGTGTAAACCACATGCTGTAAACTCTAATCGGAAAGAAAACAAATGCTGTTGACTCTCCGATCGGCTGCTGGTTTGCAAAACTACGCGCTTCTGAATCCTGCCAAGCGGTGACGCTCTTCTTTGGTAATTTACAACGACACTTTATAACCCAAAACAGCCCAAATGTTCTTACGCAGAATGTGAAATGAGTCAGTTTTATCCCTGAACTCAACCCAGAAATTTTGGGGGTTCATAACCTCAAGAGTAAGTCCCAGGGCTTCAGTTTCCATAAACTCTCTCACTTTGAAGGAAATATAATTTGATATCGTGGCCAATATGACCCAGTTACTGGGCCACAACCGTACGCACGTAGATGCATCTGGTGAGCTTAATTGAACAATGTCTGTAAAGGTTAAGGTCAATGATACGGTTCATAACCTGTGCGATGTGAATGCAGTCAACTAGTTTTTATTAATGGGTTTAATATTTAACTATGGACGCATCATATGACGATTCGTTGAATAGCAAGCGCCACTTTAACTCGCATCCGCCCGCTGCCTGCAGACGTTTTAAGCATAATGTGTACATTGTTAGCCGATTTCGCCATCTGATCGACAGCGTGACATCAAATTTTAACTGTTACTTCATTATCTGGTGATATGGCTGAGCGTGCCCGTAGACTTGCTTAGCTGCACTCACACGAATAGGAGATAAACTAACACCGTGTAGAATTAAGCATGCCTGGCAAATGACGTGCAAGCGGGGAGGATCACGGGTAAGATACAAAAAGAAACACATAACGTTTTAATAGCAGAATTACGTTTCCTACCTTCATTTAAAGAAAGATAGGGTACAAGAAAAATGTGGTAATGTGGCTCAAAAGAAATATCGAGAATAGCTGATCTTTAATAAGGGAATAAATGTGTGCTTCAAAAGTTTTAATCACCCCGTCTAAAGACCGCTTGGAGTCTGGGTCCTGATAATTACCCAAGCGGAAGGCGAGGGTAATTATCAGCACCCAGACTCCAAGCGGTCTTACACAGAGTGATTAATGCCGACCAAGAACATTTGTATTCCAAATCATAAGTACCTTTTCGGTCAAAAAAACCTGTTTTTTTTTCTCTAGCTAAACAATGCAGTGTCCAGCTTGCAAGTAAGATGTAAACAACTCCTTTTATGGAGATTGGCGAGCGCGTCTTGCGTCGCGTGTACTGCGTGATGTCGCGCAGAATGCACCTGGGGCGTTGCTTTGTGAATTTAGGACTATACAAATACAGCATGGTCACGTATGTTCACGGCCCATAAGAATGGTCATTATGCACGCGCATGCGCACGGCAATAAATTGCAGACGATGACGGTTTTCCCCGCTAGCAGACGACGCACTGCGGTTAAGTTTGACGAACGAAAAATGACACTTTTATCGAAGACGAGAACAATCCAGTCAGTTACATTGGTTGAAAGAAAGAAAACACAATTAATTTCAAAGTTTAAGGGGATTTGTAAAGGATATGATAACTTTAAGTAATAATAAAGTGGAATTTTAGGAAGCTTTCCGACGATTTGGAAATGGAATCCACCAATTTACCTCTTCAACTTCCGTCAATTTTTTTTATTTCGAAATCATTTTTGATTGAAAAATCAAACGTTCTACCACTCCTCGATAACACAGAAATAATTTCATATACATCTTACTCGAATGCATATGCAATTTCAAGAAAAAAACCGTACTTCAAATCACTGCTCTTTTCGTCGTCCTGAATGACCGTTCGACTCGCTATTTGACAAAAAAAGTTCGATTCTAGATATCGAATACTCGTGAGCATGGTCGAAAACTTACTGGCATTGTGCTTTCGGTCTATACTTTAGTGCGAAACATTTTTTTTTTTCGCATGGAGACAAATGGGCTAACGGGGAAAAATAAGTGAATGACAACAGCACAGACATACAGCACAGATTTAGCATTTACCATTCGCCCACCAGTTTTTACTTTTTATTACTTTATTTATAGAGAAGTGCGAATACTTTTATTGTGTTATTGCTCATTTGATGACAATGTATTGTAATGCAATGTTTGATACCAACGTTTTGATATATCCGGACTGTTTTTGAAAACGAGTTTCCTGCTTTTTCAAATTTGGGTTTATAGGCTAATCCTAAACAGTATTGAGCTCATAATCAAACCTTACACTGTGGCTTCAAAGCACTCATTTGTATTGATGGTGATGTGTTTCACACCCTGATTCGATACCATTTGAGTAACACATATAAAGTTTCGTTCACTTCAAAATTTAATAAAATGAAACCTTCACCGCTTCCAATATAGTAGTTAAATTATACCGTAATATTGTATTCAAGAATATTTGCTTTTGTAATGATACGTCTTTCAATGCTTAATATGTTATATAATTTCTAATTTCAAGACTACAATCGCTTCACATTACTGAAAAAGTCCGCTTACAACTGCGATAAAAAAAGAAAACCTTTACCATTTAAATCAAGTTATACATTAACACTTAGCTAATATAATGTTAATTATACCTGTGTACATTCACCATATTCAATTATTAAATCCAAAGTAGGTAAATTAGAAAACTAATAAGCAAATAATACGACACGTTTAACCCGTTACCACCTTCCTAACGCTGTCTCACATTAAATCAATTCCTTGATGGATCATAAACCATAGAATGCTCGGGCAGTTTGGGCGTTACAGAAAAAAAACCACCAAAAACAACAACAAAAACAACCCAAAAGAAAAAAAAAAACGTGTGTTGCGAATCAGAAAGTACAGGGCGAGTAAAACAAAATTGCAAAAATGGAAAGGAGTCATCTTTTATTCAAAACCAAGTAGAAGTTTTGAACTTGTTAAACCTTGTAATAATGACATATTCGTTAGTAACATTGTGTGAAAAAAATGAAGTCAATCCCATTTACCGTGTTTGTTTTGGTGAACCTTTAGTAACTTTGGTACCCAATTTACATTTTGTCTACTAGGCTTCACAATTAAGAGCGGAAAACGATACAGTAAAGACATTAAACTGACTGAACCTTATAGCTCAAGATTTATTTTTTTATGTTTTCCCTTCACGTTATTCACAGTATCTGTGGACTATACTATAGTGAATGTGTCCTTCATTGTTCACACAACTGCAGCTCTGCCCTCTACTTAGCAACCGTGCAAGGCAATGCATGTCTCAGCGCTAGACTTCATGGAAAGAACGGCCCCGGGGACACATTTGTTGCTGTTTCAGAAGCCTCGTGGACAAGAACGTAAATTGGGTACCGTAGTAGAAAGGTTCACTAAAGTCAAACGGTGAATACGATTAACTTCATTTGTTTTCACTCAAAATTACTAATTAATATGTCATTCTAAAAAAATGTTTAAACATTTAAAAACTCCAACTTGGTTTTGAAAAAAAAAATATGGCTTCTTTCCATTATTGCAGTGTGTTTACTCACCCTGTATATGATCAAAATCATGACATCATAATATGAGCACTGGACCCTTTACAGTTCATTATCTTGTTTGCACGCCTGTACAATTAAAACGCTAAAACCAAAATGAATTTACTCCTATTTCTGTAAAATAAAATACAATAAAACAGACGTTTAGTGCCGTAAATGTTTTTGTCTGAATCTTCTTAAATTCAAAAATAGCTTGGATGAATCACATTTGAAAAGGCTCTTACATTTAATAAGAATGCTATAATAATTACACCAAACTATATACAATGAAACCGTGCTAGAGAAACCCACGGTTACACAATACGATTTGTAATAAAATGTAACACTATGATTTGAATAAAGAGTTCGAACTATGATGACATTACGGACCATTCGTATAATGTTAGCAACTTTCTGAAAAAAGGGAAACGGGCCTACTTGAGGGAAATTATTTTCTTTTGTATAGAATCAGAACCGATTAATATTTTGATTTCGAGCATTCTATACATTTGGGGTCTACTTTGTTTTTCTTGTCCCTGTTACATCTGACATCAATGATTGTATAATTCTGATACACTCCTTAATGCGGTTGTCCTCAAACGGTGATTATGGATAGCAAACTACCTTCCCAACAAAACACATAGCGTCATTTTGTATGATAATGGAATGAAACATTACAAAGTAGACAATCTAAGGTAACAGGGACGTGAACAGTTCATACATTAGACCTAAATCTATAGAATGGCCCACATAAAAAAACACTGTACAAAACACCACGATATATAGACATTCAGTGTTTTAGAATGTTTCTTTTCATATTTCTAACTGAAAAATCTCACGTAAAACTGACGCAATCTACCATTGATTCTTAATTCACCGGCCCTAGTTCGTGATCCATGATCATGACATAACAATTCGAACATCACAATAAAAAAAAATAACGAATGGAATGCCTTATAATATATTCTACTGATAATAATGTTATATTGACTGAAAACCTCCACCGTTAAAATGTCATTTGTATGTTCTACGAGGGAAAATATTCATAAGAAACTTCGGAAATGTAACATCAGATAAACACGCATAATATTCAAATGCATTTCATTTTTACAACTAACTTGTAACACTTAACTTTGAGTAATTGATACTTATTTCCTTTTTTTTCCACTTTACTACAGGGTGACCCGAAAAAATGCAACCCTAAAACATCTGCCTTTTAAAATAAAAAGGATCTGTGAACTTTTATGTTTTGGGTATCAGATTAAAGCTGAGAGCGTTTTCTTTCAAATACCGAAACAAAAATCCTGAAAGTAGCACTTTGGGTTGCTGAGGAAATGCCAATTATGTAAAAGTAGTCATTTTTCATCATGTACACAAAACATAGTGAAACATTTTATTGTAAGTCTGCTGTGCAATTATCCTTCATTAGTCTAATGTCTTCAATATGTTGACATATTTATGATGCTGAAAAGATTTCAAATACTACTAAAAGGATGAGATACCTGTTTAGGTAGAAAATAAAACGTGTTTCCATCAAATTCATTTGTACTCTTGTCATATTATGTGCCTTGTTGTTTGTAAGGATTAGGTCATGCACAACTAGGTGCAGTGAAACTCCCTTACTGTGGTAATTGTTTGTGTACAGGACGAAAAATGACTACGTTTACATATTTGGCATTTTCTCAGCAACCCAAAGTGCTATTTTCATGATTGTTTCAGTATTTAAAAGAAAAGGCTCTCAGCCTTAATCTGATACTCATAACATAACAAAAAAAATCGACAGTTCCTTTTTTTGGTTAAAGGCAAACGTTTTAGGGTTGCATTTTTTTTCGAGGTCACCCTGTACATTGCGACGTCATCATTATTTTATACCTCAAGCTATAAATTGACGAACAAATCCGCTTGTCGGCCTGAAAACATCTTTAACCCATTTTTTTGAACTCAAACTAGGAAGAATATTGGCTCTAGTTTCTCTACAGCTAAATAATAATCAAGAGGTTCGATGCCTTTGAATCTATTCCAATGAACTGGATTGCGGTGAATCACTTGTTAAGCCGTACTATCAAACGTTCTAAACAAATATATCGTATGTTCCCATTTAGTAACAAATAAACATGATGTAAATTGATTGTATAATACCGATCTGAATACTACTGATATACGTGTTTCAATTCAAATGTAATCCCTCACCATTTGTAAGGTTACGTCATGCCATAGAATACTAAAGACTATAGTATTAGCAATCATGTGTACTCTACCGATATACGCGTTTCAATTTAAAATGCAAACCTTCACCATTCACAAGGCAATATATATACCATGCTATAGAGTTATACAGACTTTACATGTAGTACTAACAATCATATATATATACTACCGGTATACGTGTTTCAATTCAAATGCAATCCTTCACCGAGGCAATATATTTGTTATGCCATAGATTCATACAGACTATGGTATTAAAAATCATGTATATACTACCGATATACAATTTCAATTAAATGCCATCCTTCACCAGTTACAAGGCAGTATATCTGTCATGTCATAGAGTAATAAAGGTTATAGTATTGACTACCATATATATACTACCGATATACGATTTTCAATTGAAATGCAATCCTTCACCATTTACAACGCAACATACATGCCACGCTGTTAAGGTAATATAATATAATAGAAATATATAGCTAGTTGTAGCAAACTTGGTTCTTGGATGTTTGATTACGGACCGGAAATTACGCATTCAGACAGGAATCCATGCTGATAATTCCCAAAATATAACTACGACTTGGACCAGAGTTCTAATCACAGTCCTTTGTACGTTTCTTGCACATCCATATCAGCTTTGTGTCCAAACACTCATTACTTCTAGATGAAGTACTCAGTCAGCGAAGTCCAAGCAGCCTAGGTTAGATTCCTAATATACCACTTAATAGTTCAGTTTTCTTGGGGACTGCCTCGGTAACCATGTCTGGTTTCCTAACGGAAGCCTACACAATGAATGGGGAGTTTAGATTGTGGATGTGAGCGTCCATAGGCGTAGGCCAGCCTGGGACAGGTGATTGAGTGCAATAACCAGATTGGAAATCAAACTGCGCATGCAGACATCATGCTTTAAATTGTACGCCAATCTTGAAAATCCTAAATCTTTCTTCAATTTAGCAAAAACGTTGGTGGGCTAAACAATTAAAAATGACGTCTTTGGTTGCGCCACGGGGACCAAAAAGATGGCGCACTACTACAATATTATTGTCCCATAATTTCGACATTTTTCATTTAATATTTGGGGCAACATCTTACCAAACAACCTATACCCAAGTTTGGGTGTAAATGCATTATCTACACCGATTTTCTCCTCAGTTGTAAATTATTTTCAACTGAATTCATTAGAAAAATGAAGGTGAACAATAAAAGCCGTTGTTCTCGCCAACGGGTTCCATGTTGGATCACCAACATTTTGGTCCCATGACCCTGAATGTTAGTATTAAATGCGATTAGTGAGGGCACTAGTCAGGTGGCTGAGACCCATTCTTTAACAAGATGGTGACCGACTGGACCAAAGCACTAACGTTGGCAGATAGATTCGTTTAGCCCTAGAGAAAATATTTAGAAGAAGTGACACCTGAAATTCATTGAGGAAGGGTGCTTATTTGCATAAATCGAAAATACCTGCCGTGTAATATATTTGTTCCCGTATATGGGTATATTATTTTATTTTTTTATTGTATGAAAAGTAAATTTAGGTGATTCTACTTACACTTCCACACTCCAATAACATTTGTAGGGCTTTAAGAATGTATCTGCCAACTTTGTAGCTTTGGACCAGTCGGTCACAATTCCGACCGTATGCCACCTGACTACAATGATTACTGTTTTTTCTGTTCGTTTTCCATGGTAACCATGGCAACGATGGACACCGTAGATAATTTAGTATTGTACCATTTTGACCCTTGATTAAAGTAAAAAAAATCATGCCGGTACAGGCAGCTTGGGGATGCAGTGCGCCCTTCTCGTCCAGACAATGTTAAAAATGAAATACAATCGGATCACTGCTGATGACAAAGTTCTCGCTGCCGACCAACATGAACAATGTGTGTGTGTCTGGCAGTTTCAGTAGTAAAAGGCGTCGTCAAATTCGTCCTGATCCATTCTTCGCATCTGTAATTAGAAAACAAGATGCAAACTGCGGAAAGTTTGAAATGGTACATTTGAATGGTACACAATGGTGAGTGCGAATTGAAACCGGAGTAGCCTTTGTAGTTTCCGTAGAAGACAGTTTTGTAGCCCTTCGCAATGTAAGTCAACTGACCATAAAGCACACGCGTTCGACAAATCACGTGTTTGAAATAATTTACTGCGATGTCTTATGCGCCTTTGATTATTTAAAATAATGGAAACAGCGCAGAGTTTTGAGTAAGAATTTTTTTAAAGTTAACAGGCATTAACTTATAATATTTATATTTTACTGTACATTTTGTCTGTAGTAGAAGGCGTCGTCGAAGTCGTCAAATCGGTCCTGATCCATTCTTCGCATCTGTAAAAGAAAATCAAAATGCAAACGGCAGCAAGTTGAGATGTTCCTGTTTTAGTAACTTGTAGCCTATACTGTGCCAGCAGGCGCGTGCGAATTGAAACCGTAGCTTTTGATTTCTGTATAACACAGTCGTGTCGCACTTTGCAATGTAGTCAACTAACCATAAAACGCATACGTCTAACAAATCACGTCTTTGAGCAACAAAATACTACGTGATTTTAGATGACTTGATGAGGTTCTGACTTGATAGATTATTTTTAAGAAGTATGAATGTTGGTTATTTAAGATTCATGAAATAAGGTGGTATATTTTCAACCAACGGAGCAATGCAATTTGGATCATCATCAATGTATAATTAGACTGCTCATGAGACATTGATCAAGTTAAACCGCAACAGTAATTATTTCACACTAAACAGCCTTCCCCCCCCCCGCAAAAAAAAAAAAATGCTGCAAGCAGAAGCGGGCCCTTTGTCCTTGGAATATAAAAAATATTTCATGATGCTTATATAATGTTAAACCTGGGATAGTCAGCTTTCAAATTCTATTTGTTTTATCAATTTTGCTTTCGCCAAACCAGAGATATGGTCCGCTGAACACAAACACTCAAAATCAATTTGTGCCACTTTCTACATTGTTAGGCCTAATAATGACATGACAAGACATGGCACCTGTTCAAATCCAACTACAATTCAGATTCTCAGTTCCAGAAGATATGTTTTTATTTTGATGATTTGGAGAGTGTAGTACAAATAATAAAAAGAACATTATAATATGAATAACAAAAGTGTTTCTTCACCGTATTAACTTACGGAAAGTGGCACAAAATAATTTTTGAGTGTTTGTGTTCAACGGATCATATCTCTAGTTTGGCAAAAGCAAAATTGACAAAACAATTAGCATTTGAAAGCTGAATATCCCATGCTTAACATTATATAAGCACTATGAAACATTTTTTAATCTTCAAAGGACACAGACCCCGTTTCTGCTTGCAGCATTTTTTGGGGGGCAGGCTGTACATGTGCTATATAGCTCGTCAGCTACCTCACAAACGTACAAGGAATCATCTACTGCAGGTGTTCATTTCATGTGTCCCCCCTTCCCCCAAACAAAACAAAAAAAAACCTCAAAAAAACACCAAACCCCAAACAACACTTACCAGGGCGGGTCCAGGGATGATGTACGGCAAGGAGAAATTGGGGTCACGATATATGTAATCTGGACGAAATGGGAGGTCTTCATTCTAAAATGAAATCAGAAAAATCCTCATCGTGTTATACTGCGCACGGTTTGAGGAACCTTAGTGTTGGGTAGATTGTCGTTTCAGCTGCTAAACAATAATTGCAATGTTAAGCGACTATGTATACCCAAAGTTATACCATATTTTATTTTACGAAACATTTTCTTGATAAGTAAATTTATTAAATTTGATTGTACCTGGTGATTGTTCTGATATGGCCGGGTGAATGACGCACGATCGTGATAGTGCCTGCGGTTCAGTTCGGATGACTGACGAGCCAGAATTTTATAGCAGAATACCATTGCGACAATGATGATGAGACTCACCAACACGCCACCGACAACCGCAATGGCAATGAATCCGCCATTAACGCCTTCTTCTGTCACTAAAACGAGAATAAAACACCAAAC